TTCCTGTTTCAGCAGTTTATATGTCTGAATTTCTGACAAGCCTTTTCCCAAACCGTCTTTTTCTCCTGCCAGTGTCTCAGTGTAGGATGTCACGGTGAATTTGTGTGCATCCAGAGCTGCTTGTGTTTGCTCAAGGTTACTGACTAGTTTCTGTACATTGTCCTCGTTCTCCTCCAGGTTGATCATTCTGTCTTTCCTGTCTTCCCTCATCCTTAAGACTCCACACTGCAGTCCTGATTTGAGAGCTTTGAGCGACTTGTTTACATCCACAAGTTCAATTCCTCCAGATTCTAGCTTGGAAAATTGTTCCTCCTGAACTTCTTTGGTCATTTGCTGTTCTGTCACTCGTCCCGTACTGTCATGACGTTTTCTGGAAATGTCCACTTCTGCAGTTTCTGCCATTGTTATGTCTTTAGGGACAAAGAGTTCCCCAGTTTTTCTCCCGCTCTCTTCATCCTTCAAAGCCATAGAGTTGATCAATTTCTGAAGATTGTTTCTTTGTGACTGAACCTGATGGTTTAAATATTTAATGTTGGATTTCTCTCTGTCTATTTCGTCAAACAGTCTCGCTGTATTATTTTCAAGGTCTTTTCTCAAAACCATAAGATCCTGACTTTCCTCTGAAATCCTTTTTTCTACTTCATGGAGTTCTTCTGTTTGGTTTTTGAGCTCATCATCCTTTTGTTCTTGTTGTTTATGTTTCAAAACAACTGAGATGATCACTTCCTGAAGTTTGTTTCTTAGTGACCGAAGCTGAAGTTTCTGATATTTAATGTTGGATTCCTCTCTCTTCATCTCATTCAACAGACTTTCTGCATGGACTCTCGTCTTAAGAACGTCGGTATTTGTGATTTGCAGACCTGATCGTTCTTGTTCTATCAGTGCCTTTTGTTGCTCCATGTCAAAAACCAACTTCTTATTTTTATTCAATATCTCATTCAGTCCATGTCTTTCCTCCTTCAGCTCCGACTGTAGTTTCTCCAACTGTTTTTTTTCCGACTGAACTGCTTCTTTCCACTGAGTTGTCATGTCGGCTCTTTGTTTTGTAATGATAGATAGAATTATTTGTGTGTCACACACTTGTTTCTGGACCGCATCAGTGAAGTTCATTAATTGGTTTCTCTGTGAATCAAAAGCTGCACATTTTTGTTCTAGTATCGAAGATAATTTCTGTGTTTCTTTGCTCCTTTGGTCTATTAACTCCACTTTGTGATTGATCTCACTACATATCTTATGATTCAGTTCTTTGAATTCACCGATCTGTTGTTGTGTCAACTGGATTCTACTCATGAACTGATCTTCTCTGACTTTAATCCTGTCAACTTCAGTCTTCACTTTGTCTCTCTCACTTTGGAGTTCTTGTCTTTCCATGTCAAGACGTGTCTTGAGTTGATGAAGTTTGTCCTGTTCTTTACTGAAGCTGTTCAAAGCAGATTCAAATGTTTCTTTCCTCTCATCAAGTTCATTCCTTAAACTCTCCAGTTCTTCTCTCTCTGCTGAAGTTCTCTCTGCTGTGTGTGTGATCACATCTTTAAGATTGTTCCTCTGTGTCTGAACCTGTATGTTCAGACCTTTAATGTATGATTTCTCTTTGTTAATCTCAGTCAACAGAATGTCTGTTTGTTCCTTTGTCTTCAGGAGGTCGGTCTGTGTGTTTTTCAAACCCCTTTGTTCTCGTTCAATGTCAGACATCATCATTTCTAATTGTTCCATCTTTTTATTCATCATCTCATTCAGCTCTTTTGTTTTTAATCCAAGGCTCATCTTGAGTGTGTTACTAATAGTTGCCATGGTTACTGCACATTTATCTACAGCTGTTTGGTTTTGCTCAAGCCCACTGACTAGCTCCTGTATCTTTACCCTGTTTAGTTTTAGTTTCATTGTTTTCTTTTCCAGTTCTTCACTCTGTTCCTCTAGTCTTGCACTGTGTGATTTTAACCTTTTTGTTTCCTTCACATGCTCATTTTCCTTGGTTTTCAGCTCAGACCACTGCCTTTCCACTTCTTTCTTTTCATCCGCAAGTATTTCTCTGTCCTGTTCCAGCTGTTTCTTCATCTGACACAGTTCCTCTCGTTCGTTGCTGATGTTCGTCAGAGCAGCTTTCACCTCACGTTTGTTTTTATCGATGTCCTTTTTCAAACCCTGTAGTGTTTCTCTTTCAGCTATCATTGACTTATTCTGGATATCGAGTTCTTCCATTTGTTTTTTTATCTCATCCTCCTTCAGTTCTTGTTCTCTCTGTTTTTCAGCTACTGAGCTCATCCCATCCTGAAGTTTGTTTCTTTGTGACTGAAGCTGAAGTTTCAGATCTTTAATGTTGTCTTTCTCTCTGTTAATCTCATCAAGTAGACCGTCCGTGTGTACGTTTGTCTTCTGGAGCTCAGCCTTCGTCAGCTGCAAACCTCTTCGCTCTCGTTCCAACAGTTTACCTTGTTGTTCCATGACAGACATCATCAGCATGACGTCCACCTGTCTTTGGTCCATCACGTCACTCCTAAATCCAAGGCCTTCTGTCTGTGATCTTTGTCCTAACAGACCTCTTCGTCTGTCCAAACCTTCCTGTCCTCTTGTCAGCCTCTCAGTATAAGATGTCAGAGTGATTTGGTGTGAATCTAGAGCTTTTTGACTTTGCTCCAGAACCTGGACTATCATAGGAACACTGTCTGTGTTCCGCTCTGATGTGATCATTTTGTTTATGTTTTTGTTCAACCTTACACTTTGGTCGCGCAGTTTTATTCTGAAGACCTCCAGTGATTTTATTCTGTCCAGAAATTCAAAGTGTCTTTTTTGCAGCTCAGAAAGTCGTCCTTTCACTGTTGTCTTTTCTAACATCAGCACTTCTCTTTCACCGTTCATGTGTGTTTTTATTTGACTTATTTTTTCCCAGTCTCCTCTGATGATGATTTTCTGCCTGTGTGTCTCATCAGACAGACGGTCCACATGTTCTCTGGTCTCTCTGAGCTTAGTTTCTGTGATTCGCAAACCTTTTTGTTTTCGTTCTAATAGTTCAGTTTGCCGCTGAACAACGGACGCCATCAGTTCAAGCTCCACTTTCTTTGTATTCATCGTCTCGTTCATTTTTTGCCTGTCGATCCTTAACTCGGTCTTCGGTTTGAGTAAATGGTGTTTTTTCAACTGAAGTTCCTCCTTACGCTGATTTTCCACATATTTCCTTTGCCTTTCAATATCTGATAAAATTTCTCTGAGATCATTCACCTTCTTGTGGACCATGTCACAGTTGACCAATATCTGTTTACCCTGAAGATCAAATTCAGCATGTTTTTGTTCAAATGCACTCATCTTTTCCAGATCCTCCTTCTTCTGTTCCAGCTGTGCCTTAAGTTTTATCAAATCTTTTGTCGCTGTCAACGTCTCAGGAACCAGTAGATGTTCTACGTCCTGCCTGTGTGTCACGCCCCTCAGATTTTCTCTATCTTCTCTCGGAGTCTCAGTTTCCTCATTTTTCTTTCCTTTTTCTTTCTGTGTTTTTTCCCATTCATTTCTAGTTACCTTATCTTTTCTCTTGCTTCTGGGTTCTTCCTTTAGTTTTTCAGCTCTTAGTGACTCTTCTTGTTTCTCACACTCATGTTGTCTCTGAATTCCTTCCTCTTGTTTTGCAAAGTTCCCATCGAGTGCTTTACCATCTTTTTCGTTGGTCACCTCCATCTGCTGTTGTTTCATGTTCTTCAAAGCATGTTTGAATTTTTCTCTAGTCCTTCTGATTTGTGTCTTCATCACCTCCACTTCCTGCCTTGCCTCCATCAACATCTGCTGTCCCGAAATGTTTCCATCTTTGTTCTTCAACACTTTGTTTAAATATTCACTACGTCTTCTGAAGTCTTCACATGTCTTCATGTGCGTTTCAGTGATTTCCTGTAGAGTTTGAAGCTGATTTGTAACTTTTGTCGTAGAGTCTAGTTTCTGTTGCGTCTCCACCTCACTGTCGTCCTTCTGCCTCTGGAGCCTCAGCTGCAGGATTTCCAGCTCGTCTCGCTCTCTGGTGATCTTCTCCAGCTTCTGGTCCAGCTCTCTGTTCCTCTTCCTCGTCTCTCTCTTGAGTGCATCTCTTTCTTCTTTGACTTCGGCCCATTTCTCTTTTATTTCCCGATCTTTTCGAAGGCCTTTTCTGATCAGATGTTGGTTTTGTTTTTGTTGAAACTCCAACTGTGTCTGCAACAACTCCAGCTCTCTTCTCTCTCTTTTAACCTTGTCTAGTTTGACATCAAGGTCACGGTTTTGTTGTTTAATGTCCTCCTTCATTTGAACCATTTCACTGTTCTCTAACTCAGGCTGTAAGGACTTTTTCTTCAACACTGCCATTATCTGGGTTTTCATTTTGATGACATTGTCTCTCATTGTTCTGTTCTCACTTTGTAACAGGGTCACTTCATGTTTCTGGTTCCTTAAGTAAAGGTTAACATTTTCCATTATTCCCACGTCTCCTCTTATTGATTTCAAAGTACTGTGAAGCTGTGGTTGAATGTTTTGGACGCTACCGAAATCTAAGCTCTGTGTTAAAAATATAAACTTCTCCCAGTTTCTCATCATTTGCCTCTGCCTACAAACTTCTTCTCTTTCTTGTTGCAGTTTCCACCTCAGTATTTCCAGTTCATCTCTTGCTCTCATGGTTTTCTCCAACCTCTGATCTAATTCCTTTCTCCTCTTTTTGGTCTCCCTCCTCAGCATTACCTTTTGGCTTTGTATTTCACTCCACATGATGTCATTCTCTGCGTTCTTTCTGGTGATTTTCCTCAGTACCTGTTCACATTCTCTCCTCTTCATTTCCAGTTCTGACTTCAGCAGCTCCGACTCTCTTATTTCTCTTTTGATTTTCCGTGCTTCATCTTCCAGTTCCTCTCTCTGCCTCTGCAGAGACTCACTGACGTGTATTTCTGCCTCAGCTTGCTCGTTTGCTTTTTTGCCAGTTTCCCTCTCTGCTTCTGTCTCTTCTGTCGGCGTCACACTTCTGACTTTTTGGCGTTTAATTTTGGCACGTCTGCTTTTTGTCAACCTTTTATTTTTGTGCTCCTCTTCATCATCTTTCTCATTTTCTCCCCTCTCTGTTTGAGTGGTTTCTATAGCTGTTGTTCTTCTTATTTGAGTCTTGAATTCGTCCAGCTGGGCTCTAAGCTGGGTTACGGAAAGAAGTTGGAGTTTCAGGGATTTTTCTTTATTGGTGAAGTTGAAGTTCAGATCTTCTAAATGTCTCAGGTTCACTTGACTCCTCTTGATACTTATATCTACACAGCCACTTTTATTTCTAGCCTTTACAGCCGTTTTCTTCATACTGTTGGTCATTTCTGCTATTTTCTCCAGCTGCTCCTGAATCGCTTCACTTTGTTTCTGTATTTTCAGTTTTAAAAGATCCAACATATCCCTCTCTCTTAAGGTCTTCTCCAACCTCTGATCAAGATCTCTCCTCTGCTTCCTCGCTGACATTTTTATTGACTTCACATCACCCGTCTGCTCTTTCAGATACAGTTTTACCATTTTCAGAAATTCCTGAAATTCTGTTATATCTTGTATAAAGCGCTCAGTTTCATTTGCTTCATCCTTTTGATTCTTGTCAGCGTTGATTCCTGCAGGTTGGTTTTGTACTTCTAGTTTTACTTCACTCATCAGTTCTTGCGTTCTGACCATCTCTGTTCTGAGTCTGTGGAAATCGAATCCTGCTGTTTTGTCCCTCTCATCAGAAGCTCCTTCCATCTTCTCTCTCTGAGTCTGCGGATCTGATTTCCAATCTTGACTTTGTCTTTGCTTTTTCACTTCCAATATCAGAGAGTTCAACGTATTGGTTACTTCTGTCGTGACACGGTGTTGGAAAACATTTACATTTTCTCTGTGCGACGGTCTCTCTATATTTCCACCTTCCTCCACTGTCAGTTCTCCACCCGCTGGTCTCTGACTGTGCAGTTTCATTAAATCCTCGACTAAACTTTTAATCTCTTCAGTTTTTTCTTTCACGTTCTCCACATCTTTCTTCATTTGACTATTTATTTTCTCCTCACTTTCCCTCAGACTGATTATCTGCCTCTGTATTTCCTCCCTCTGTCTCACATTTGCTTTTAATTCTGTCTGATAGTCATCTAACAACGTTGCTTCACCGATTTCTGTTTGCATCTGAGCGTAACTGCAGTAGAGTTCATCTGAGTCCACGGAACGAAGCAGCTGACGTCCCGATCCACTCCGCTCTTCATCCTGGAGCTGTGAAGACACAGATGTTTGGACAGTCTCACCTTCTGCTCCGTCTTCATCTGCTGGAACCACCTGTCTCTGATCCACGTGATAACCTCTCTCTGTTTCCTGTTGTAGTTCGTGAGGATGTGATGCCATGGCTGACAAATGATGTCCGGCGGTCGGTTCTGTTGGCGTCCGTCTGTTGACCCGAGCTCTCAACAACCTCAGCTTGTCCTTAAAAGTGCAAATTTGTCAGTCATTTGTTGATGTTGTGTCTCTTTAATATTTACTATATTTACAGCTAATTCGCTAAAGTTTGCAACATTGACCTGTGTTAGAGGTTAGAGAGAAACCAGAAACTATAGACAGCGTCATAAAACAAGTTAAACAATGACCTACCATGATTTGTTTGACCTCGTCGTTGTTCCGTTCCATCTGCTCTTGGACTTGCATCATTTTCACTTTAGTGTTCTTAATCTCTGTCACGGCCTCTCGTGTACTGCCTTTCACCTGACCTGAAGTCACAGCAGTATTTACTGTGTTATTGAATGCATGTTTAGTCTCCTCTTTCTGACGCTGCTCCATCTTTTCCTTCTTCTTCTGCTCTTGGAATGGTCTCCACTTCATCTCTTCTGCGAAGGCTCTCTTCTTTTGCTGAACATCTTCTCTCAGCGTGTCATCTGTTCCATCCAGCTGCTGTGACTGCTGTTCCACCATCGTTCTGCTCGTGTCTTTTTTTCTACGGCTCACTCTGATCATTTTCACCAGGTGCTTCTTCTTCATTTCTATCTCAGTATTTAGCACCTCCAACTCCCTGAGTTCTTTTCTGGTCTGTTCTGATTTTTCATCAAGTTCCCTTTTTTGTCTCTCGATGCTTTCGCTCATACATTTCAGTGAGTTGCTTTTATTCTGTAACTCAGCATTTGTTTTGGATTCTGCATCACGTCTTAAAGATTCAGATTTCACATTTTCACTTTCATCTTTCACGGAACCTTTCATTTCACCATCCTCCAGCACATCCCAAATGTTATTCATCTCCCTCCAGATATTTCCTAGTTTAACCTTTGAACTGTCAAATGCGTCCTCATCCTTCTGCTCTGTCTCAGTAAAGATCCCGTCTCTGAGATGCTTCACTTTGTTGAAATACACAGTAAGCTTACGTCTGGTGTCTGCGACTTGATCTTGATGTTGTAGAACACAGTTTTTACTCCTCACTAACTCTTGTTTCACATGTTCTAACGTCGTCTTCTCTTGTTCTGTCGCCACTTTTGCCTGAATCAGGAGTTGAATGTTTTTGTGGACAGCATTCACCGGAGTTGAATCAGTAACATTGCCCGTGACTTTCTGCTCGTGCTTCCCCGTCCTGTTTTTCTGAGTGATGATTTCCATACGCATTCTGTCAAGAGTTTCCCTTTCTTGGCAAATCTCTGCATGCAATTTGAGGAGTTTCTTTTCTTCCCTATCAGCTTCATGTTTGTTTACATTCCCTTTTTCAAAGGTGTCTTCCATTTTTCCTCTCAGGGTTTTCATTTCTAAAGACTGATTGTGTTTTTCAGCTGCCAGTCTGTCCATATCCTCCTGCTGCTGCTCTGTTTTTATCCTTAGTTCTCTGATTTCTCGTTGTTGTCTCTGTGTCACCTTCAAAAGTTGTTCAACCTCCTCCATCATTTGACGTGACAGTTGTCTTTGCCTTGTAATTGCTTGCTCTTTGCTTTCCACGTGGAATAGTGATTCTCGTCTGTGCTCTGGGGTTAAAATAAAACATTAAATAAATAAATAATATCATTTTAAATTATTCTATCTATACAAGATAAAATAAAATGGTATTGTATATATTTCATTAGTAAAAGCATGAAAGGAATTATAGGCAACACTGAAAAACTGGACTACAACCTGCTGCGTATTAAAACACAAAACGTGGTCTTTATTTATTTCTTTTGTAGAGAACAGTTAAACTTACCAGGAGCAGCTGAAGGTCCGAGTTCTCTCTGTAAAACTGTGCTGTCGATGCCTTTGGACTGCGACGATTCGGCTTGAAACAGCGCCCTCCTCTGTTCATGATGTGCCACAGCTTCAGAGACGGTTTTGGGCTGTGACAGGTAGTCCTCTGTAGGATGTGATGCTGACCTTGACCCAGCAGCAGTGGCCTGCTCTTTGATATCTTCCGAACAAGCTTCACCTGCAGGAGTATTAGGGCCTGAAAAGTCTTCAAGGTGAAATGATTAATAATCACTGCTTTAAATTGCAAATATTCTATAGTTCATTTCATGTATGTTTACTGCAGTTATTTTTCTAGTTTTCTGTGCAAATCAGTATTCAGCATGTAGCTCCTCATCCCACCCATCTGGTGGTGCTATGTAAACATTATTTACATAAATAACTCACATTTATAATTTAGAACAACATTGATATTTTATGTAAACCTTGTGTTTTCCCAGGAAATCAGTAACACATTAACTACCTGTGTTATTGTGGATTTAGTACATTAGTAGGTCTCCCCCTCCTGGGCAAAGTTATTTTTAAGTTGATCTAATGGTTCTATTTTCCAACTGTAAACAATTCCGTCCAGAGGCAGCCCAAACACTAAGTAAACTAAAAACAAATTAACAAAAACCCATACATTTCTTAATGGATTTCTTGTTATATGGTTATATAGTATTTTTTATCACATACTGTACCTTTAAATAAAAAGTTCAATGTTTGAAGCAAATTTTCATTCAATAATTTAAATGCATTGACCTTTTAAAGATCATTGCATTTAAAGGTCAAATACAGACATTCACTGGATGACACTTACCATGATCTATTGATTTTTCCATATTTCCAGATATAAACAACTCAGTCCCCAGTTAAAATCACACTTGTGATGACCTATTATAAAAAGGTATTATTACTCAATACAAAAAACAAAAAAAGCAATGACTGAACAGAGGCTTGTTTATCTTATTTTGTTGTCACTCCACTCTGACTCTGACAGTCTGCTGTGGTGGCCTGCTGAGCAGTAAACCTAAAGATCAGTGGTGAAAAGGCAGCCGACTTCAAAACATTTCATATCTTCTCCCTCCACACATTTTTTGATCACCAGGTCTGCGGGAAGATAGATGTGACACCCACACAGTGGGCGTGCGGCAGGGCGATGTTTGGGTGGTGAAACGCTTAGCTTAAAGAGCCTGCTGTCTACTGATAAGGATGGGATACAGCTCCCTCAGATCTCCTGATGTTCTGCAGCACTGCATAATCCCACAAGTCTATTCAGTTGGGCTTTAACTCACCAATAAATAGTAACAATAAAGACGTCAACAGAAGGTCTTAGCACACTATTAAAGTTATTTGATATATTACCACGGTGTAAATATGGGAATGAAATTAAAAATGTTTAAATAATTAAAAAGTAACATCAACGTTAATTATAATGATTTATTTTCAATCTGCATTTTTCATAATTTTTCCAACCTACTTTTTGTCTTCATTATTTCATATTTAGGCCTTAGAGACCTTGACCACAGTTTACCATAGACTCACTGTTTTTTACAGTCTTTGAATGGTTTAAAGGTCATCATGTTTCTTCATGTTATTTAATGGTAAAACCAAAGCATTGCAACCCACTTCAAAATTATATATTTTATTCCTCAGGGGAAAAGAGATCTGATGTTATCATGAAATTTCGGACAATCTCATTTACTGGATAAAGTGTCATCTTGACACTCAGCTGTTCCCAGTCAGATTGATTAACTGTGCATAAAATCGAACTTGGGTGTGACTTTCTGCACTTTGATGAACAGCTCAGTCACTCAGCTTATGAATTACACATCGATACGTCGGGGAACATTTCACAGGCTCACAGTTGTGCTATGCATGTTAATCAGAACTCTGAAAAATGAGCACAAAGTGTTTTCGCACAACAAGCTGTACTGTTGTTTGTACATTTGAAATACGCTACCCTCTAGTGGAGAAATCTAGAAGTTTGCCCAAAACAGTAAGTTTATATAGCAGTAAGATTATGTTCCAAAAAGCGGGTTGTTGATTTAATTGAAAAAAAAAAAAGAAAAAAAAAAAAAAACACTTTGAGATAAATGAATGCGATAATTAGCGAATGGGGTGTGTGTGTGTGTTTGTTTACATTTCAGTGCAAATTAAATGTGAATTAAATGTTAGTTTTTTTCCAAGGGTAAGCTAATGGCTACATAGAAAATATACTTAAAAACTCCAGCACTGGTTTTATGGTGTACCTGTAGTAACGACAGCTGAATAATAACTGCCTGTGCTGCACATTTTTCCGCTTCCTGAGTTGTTTCCTCTACTACAGTGCAGGATCTGTGCTCGGTGGGAGAAGCTGGATTTGTTTGGGAGTGGCCCTTCTCCTGTCACTCTGCCCTTTGGCTGCATCGTGAAACAGCAATGCCGGAAGTTAAACTGTTGCACCGCTACAATAAATGCACGAATATCCTGGACATTTGGGGGTTACATCGTTCGAAATTAGTGGAAATAAAACTGCTACTGTTAGTTCTAATATATTTGCAGCAATATATAACGCATTTTCTGGGTCTTTTGTAGTTTCTTACAATGTTTGTTGTGTTCACTTGAGCTAAACATAGACGTCTTAACACAAAAGTAAAGTTTTCTGTGTTTTCTGGTGGACGATGTATGTACGTCCTTACATAAACAAACAAACTTACACTCATACTGTATTTCATGTCTTGAACCAGCCGGGACTGGCTGTCTTGCCCTGGTGGGTGCAGCTTGACACGAGTAACACCATCATCGAGCACCAGTGGGCGTCTGGTCGCGTCTGTCATTTCGTTGCTCAGTTCCTGGAAAATATTGCTTCACACTATTATTGGCCCTCCTACAACTGGATAAGCTGCATCAAGTTAGCATAGCACAGACAGAAAGCGCATGGCGTACCTGTGTCCTTTCAAAGTAAAAGTCACAAAGGCTTATTTTATAAAATAACATAAAGGCAAAAGTCAGTCTAAGTATACAAAAGTATCGCATAATAAAATATAATTATGAAGATGAAGATAAATGTCGTCATATAAATACTATAATACGATATATTGGCATTTTATTTTTATTTTGAAATATAAATTCGGATGTAGAATAATGTATAAACCTAAGTTTGACTTGTGTTACTGTAGAAAACATACAGCAGAAGCTCAGAGCTGCCAGCTGTATTTTCGAGTCTTTTGGTTCAGCGTGCTACGCAGACCTGAGACATGGAGGAGATTCTGTAGAGAAGGAATAGGAGGATACTTTTCTGATACTCTGGACACTCCGAGTATTTTTTTCTCTTATTTTCTTTTAAATTATTTGCGCTGGATGTGGATCACAGTAAGCAGAAATCCCAGCAGACAACCTAGTCCCTGCTGTTTTGGTAAGTTTCGCCTCCACTGATCAGTTCATGTGAGTTGTTGTTAAAAAGGCCACACAGTGATTGGAACAGGAAAGGATCTCTGCTTTGTTTATGAAACTTGTTCATGCTGCTCAAACCTCCCCAGAACCTCAGAGGAGTGTTGCTTGTGTACCTCTAAGAAAAATCAAAACTCCAGCAAAAGTCACACAAAGGACACCCTGGAGCAGATTTCAGGATCAAGGATACAGTGCATATCAACATCAGTCAAACCTGCAACCACACGTCCTTTGTGTAGTACGTTCCAGTAGGGCTACTGATCTCATCTGCGCTGCAAGGATCATACGAGATCATATTAGAAATGTCACCAGTTAATGTACCGCACAGTTGTTTGTTTATATAGAAGTTGTTTTTTTTATGTTTTTCTTCATATGTTTAAGGCTTATTCATTTATTTTGGCTCATTCTGCTATTTTGAAGCCGAGTTGCTAAATAATAAACATAAAAAACATAATAAGCAACCTATGTTAAAAGACCAAAACAAATATCTCGTTTGCTCCAAAGTTCAGCTATTGCTTGTAAAGTTCTTCATGTTGTGATTATAGGCTCATATGAATAAGGAATGTGCAAAATTAGTAGAAAGTGGAAATAAAGGCAAATGTTTAATAAAAAAAAAGATTTAATGGGACAAGACAAGACTTGCTCATCTTTTCCTTCAATGAAATAACTTTTTAACTTCCCAGAAAATGCATTATTACAATTTCAGTCAATATGTATATATATATACAGAAATATATATATAATATTGCTGAGAGTGTTATAAAGTATTACTTATATAAAAGTGTAATATTGCAAAAATTTAGGTTAATCATAATGCCAGTATAAAATTGGTAACATATCAAATATAAATTCATAGACAATGTAAGTTCAAACCAAAGTTTGTTTTTATTTTTCAAAATACCTGCCTTGTTCGCTGCTATTGCTACTAGAAGGAAAACAGTGTAATTATCACTTCATTAGCACTGATCCTCATTCAGCGTCACAGCTAAGGGGTTATGTTTGTGTCATTGACTGTATCATTAATGGGGATTGATGACAAGCACAGCAGCGTGTCAGGGAGCCAGCAGACTCTGAACAGTGAGGAGCCCACTCTGTCAGGCGTCCATCAGTGCAGCTGGAGCAGAATGAGTCTCACGATGAGCGTTGAAATGGGAGCCTCTGAACACCTCGGGCTTCAGTCAAACACAAAGACATGTTCAGGTAGCTGCTAAACAGCACTTCAGGGACCAGCAGGAGTAATAACATCGGCATGTGAGCTTTTGTTACACTTCCGCTGAGACTATTTTTGTGAGTGAACAGATCCATCTCTTCTTCAAGGCAATGTCTGAAATTCTAAACAAGTGAGAGATTGTCACATTCAATCAAGTATTTGTGAAATGACTAAGTCAAATTTAAAAACCTAATTCTGTTTCCTCCTCTTAAACTTAAAGGGGTGTATGAGGTAACGCCTCCTCCCACCCAACGATGTCTAACTTCATTGGTTTTTCCATCTCCACCAAATTTCAAGTTTCATTTCGTAATTTTATTGACACTAATGGTTGGTTGTAATTGCCTCCGTTTGTAGAATATGGCAACTGCACTCAGTGGACGAAATCCTGGTGGACGTGGGCCACAGAGGAGTAAGGGTCGGATCTTAGGCTTCATTGACGCCCTCCACGATGCGGTGGGTCCTCCGAAACAAGCGGCTGCCGACCGACGTACAGTGGAAAAGACATGGAAATTCATGGATAAAGTGGTAAGTCTGGAGTGATAAATTGTCAGGCCTTCCTGTGAGGTGGGAGCAGACTGACTAGAAGAGAGCCGTCTCAGTAATGAGACAGGGATGAGTGTTTTTTGAGTGAAAGTACATTAGCGATCTTGCTGGAGTCTTCCACATTGTTGTTTGTGTTGTTTTTGACGTCCTTGTCTCATAAACACACACATCACTCACCAACTCATGAAACGTTCCATAAGGAAATTATTTTCTAAACCACATTGCAGATGTGCGCATCAGTTTGACAGCGTTTTAGCTTTTGGTGTAGAGGAAATGATAGTGATGATAACCATTTTCTAGATGTGACTGCGGTTGTTTCGACACAAAAGGCACCCAAGGAAAAGATCATGGTTTTTGCTTCATATGATCAACATCCTTTCCAGAAAAATACACAATGGAATGTTCTCACAATATGGCAAACTCAGCAACACATTGTCTGACATTGGTGTTAAACTGGTCTCCAACAGCTCCTCTGCTTGATGGATGTTTTGTTTACACGGTGCATTCTTCCCCCTCTGAAAACTAAGGCGAAAGGCAGTCAGTGAAAAACAATAAAAACTTGGACGAAAATACATTCCTTGTGAAACACAACTGGAAATTGATGTCAGTTACAATAAGGTGAGTTAAAGTGAGAACGCTAATCATTGGATTTGTCTGCCTCAGGTCCGTCTGTGCCAAAACCCCAGACTCCAGCTGAAAAACAGTCCTCCCTACATTCTGGATATTTTACCTGATGCCTACCAACACCTGCGGCTCATTCTGGGCAAATATGAGGAGAACCAGAGACTGGCACAGCTCAGTGACAATGAGTATTTTAAGATTTACATCGATAGCCTTATGAAGAAATCCAAACGGGCCATCCGACTCTTTAAGGAGGGAAAGGAGAGGATGTACGAGGAGCAGTCACAGGAAAGGTGAGAGAACTTTTCTTTTTTTTTTCATTTGTCACCTAATAAAGACTTGAGAGATCAGGATAAAGACATACTGTGCCTAACCCGAATTTGAAGACAGAGAAAAAGACCATTTCAGATTATTATTGATTTTGGCAGTAACATCATACACTCGTTTCAAAGTGAAGTCAGAATTATCAATGCAGTCAACTTCTTTGTTGCCTACTTTGAAGCACTACAAGTCAAAGTATTCTCCTTTTTCTGTCACACTAACGACCGCAGTTGTTCAGGCGAGACAAGCGGCAGCAGAAATGTTGACTTCTCAGTGTGGAGTTTCTCTACAGCTTACTTTTTCCTGTGGTGGAAAATATGTTGTTGTGAATATTTTATTTAGTCAGCATTGAATAAAGCTGCTCACTTGGCAACCCAGAGCTGAGGTCTGCTACCACAAACTGTGGGTTTAAGCACATAAAATCTAAACGGCTCGAAAATGGTGTTTTAACATAAGAAAATCAAGCAACGGTTCTTCAGGTCAAGTTCAATATATCTTCTAAATGTCTAATTCAGTAAACATGGATCATAATAGTTCTCTCTTTTGATTTCATTTTATTCATAACACAACAACAGCAAAAACTAATATATATTTATATATATATATAATAATAAAAAAAAAGTCAAAGGTGACAAATTTGCTGGTGTTTTGATACTAGCTGAGTCACTCAGTGTATATTTCGATTTCAGTATGACAACATATTGGGCTGCATGAGTAAAAGCTTAATATTTGTTAAGATCTTAGTATCTTAATATTTGTATATTTATTTGTTACACTAATACAGTGCTATTTGCTAGACACGTTTTATATTGTTAATTTGCTGCTTTATCTATTATTACTGTCATGTTAATAAACAATGGCATGTTGAAATATCCCACACCCGCTGAATGTCCCACAAAGAGATCTCAAGGAGATCTCAACTGGTTCATCATTTAGACTTAATTTTGTCGAAGGTGAAGGTGATTAGTGACAGTCATGAGCCCACCAAAAAAAAAACAACCCAAAAAACAAACGTCATGTACATGGTGTACTGAATTATTTGTCCTTTTGTCCATTCATTTTCCAAGCTGTGCCGTATCAAACCCACATTTTGTTTTGTTTTTGTCTGTCATGGCATCATTACTTAACTCAGCCCACAGTGAGGGTGATGTGTTGAATATGAGGCTGGCTGACTCAGATGCTGGAGCGAGTGGGAGGCTGAGATGGAGAAGTGAACGAGAGGAGATTTGGAGGCAGAAGAGAAAGCAGTCACATATTCAGCAGAAAATAAATATTGCAGTCACTTCAGGTTATCAGTGTACAGCAGCCACAGCTGCTGCTGCTGCGTTTACTGCACGCTTTATCTCAACGTGTTTTAGACTGGAAATTGAATTAATGTTGAAATCTCACTTTATGGGTGAACTTTGAAAGAAACTGCTGACTTATCCATACTGTAATTAAGTCAAGGGAAATAAAATAACCTGCTTACTTTAGGTGATTGTCATGAAAAGTACTTTCACATAGAACTCTTTCATCTTTGAAGCAGCATGGCCACTGTGTGGACTGATCCCCCGCGGCGGTGGCTGCAGAGATAGTAAGCAGTAAACTCCTGCTTCAAAATAGTGAGGTTAGCCAGCAGACTGATAGTAAGTCTAAAGGAAAAGAAAATGTAAATAAGGGAAGAGGAGCATTTTCTTCATGTTTTATAAAGAACAAGGATATTTCACCACAACATTACCCAACATACAAGCTTTATATTTGTAATCTTTTTTCCAAAAAAACTGCTCACAAGTCTTAGCACTACCAAGGTCAAAAATGTTGCTGTTATTGCCATATGTGTGTTCCCTCACTGCTGTTTGAAATGGTTTTCCATATGATTGAGCTTTGGCTGAGTGGACTGTTTGAATAACCATCATGGAAGATTAGGTATTTAAATTCTTATTTAATCATAGTTCCAGTTCTCTCACCCTCGTCGTACCCTTGTACGGTTGTATAGTCAGCTTGGTACAAAAAGTGTGTGGGGAAAAAATTCCCTCATTATGTCTCGTCATAAACTTTATGTTTCTTGTTTTTCTTCTGTTCCGCTCGTTAAAGGGAGCAGCCTGAGATAATTAAGGTTAATTCAGAGGAACTCTTAGTTTGCCATCTGCAGGGCGGAGGGAAAATCCCTGTGCACTTTACATCCTGTTCATACAGTATATATTTCCTGCCTGTTTGAGTTGAGAAAATGTCAAAGAGGGAGAGAGAGTTGACTTTTATCTCTGTGACTCCAGCACTTGCCTATTCTGACTTCCTCTGTGTTGCATCATGCGCTAATTGCCTCAGTCTTTATAGTTCCAGCTTATTGTTGACTTAACGTGACTCTCGACATCATTAAACGCTGTTTACATTTGTCCCTGCACGGAACTGATATAATTACAGTAGGAGAGAAAATGGAACCTCTTTGGCTGTTAAAAAGACCACAGCGCTACACCTGCTGATGGCCAGTGCTAATTATTAAAATCACATTGGTTTGGTCAAACGGAAATATTTTTACACATTTCATTCAGTAATATTTTAAGAAATTACATGCAAATTAAAAAAAAATGCAAGCATTGCATAGACTCTGATGTAGGGATAAATAATTGCAATCCATTTCTGCTGTTTGTCAAGTTTGTTTTAGGACTCATTTTGAGGCATTTTGTTCATTTTATGTTAAGTAGTAGTGATTTAATTATTTGTAATATTATTTCTTGGAGTGAATAGTCCATTAATAATTCCAGAAACTTTCCTAAACTTCCTTTAAATTGTTCTTTTCTGTCCTCAGGTCAGATCTTAAGGTCACCAAAATACCATCAATTGAGGAAAGGCAGGTTTACAAGAGAGCAGTGAGACCAGCTGTGACGTACAGTCTATGGTTCAACAGGAGAGAGGAGGCTGAAGTAAAGATGCTGAGATCTTGAATGGGAATGACCAGGAAGGATGCAGTTAAAGATGAGATGGAGTTAATGAGACGAGGAAAGGTTGATTTGAGAAGATATCATGGATTAAGGATTGAATTAAGGACAGTGTAGGGTTAAAGAAGGACGACAGAGAAGATCAGTGGATGTAGTGACCAACACTAGGTTAGGGTTAGTTAGTTAGTAGGAGGAGTAATGTTTAACGGTTACCATCAGCTGCTGCTAACTCTACATCTTGAATAAGATTTAAATATTTTCTGCACAAAAGTCCATGCCAGCATTTGCCTGTTTAATTTAACAGTGTAATATTTGGTGCGATGCACGGGTGGCCACACTTATTAACGTGTCATCTCGAAGCTAAGACGTGCAGTAATAGCTGGAGAAGAGGAAGAGTGGCGGAAAACATCGTTCTACAGTCATTCTTTCCTCACCTCGACTGTAGTTTCACATAATGTTGGCACCAAGACAAAAACTTTTATCAGAGAACTTCCTTCAAAGGTTACATTAAATATACTTCTCCATTCTACAGTTCTGACATCCTGTCATGTCAAATTGTCATGTTCAGACTTGCTGCCCTGTAGTTTCACCACTGCTTCATTTTGAATGTGATCTTATTTTAATGTATCTCACTGTTTACTAGATATCCGATTGTTTACTCCCTCTGGACTCGTAAACAAATAAGTTGACCACAAAGAAATCGACATCAAAGTAATACGCAAGTACAAAGTTTACAGAGGGCGCTGTATTTTGGTAAACCAAAGTACTCAGCACAGACTTTGTTCTGATGTGGGAGGATGTGAGGAACACTCGTCTGTTCTTCATATCTCTAACACTGCCAGTGTATAAATGTTGTTTTACACAACAGTCAATGTCCTATGACAAACAGGCATGAAAGGAGCACGTTCTCTTTGAGGAACCAGCAAAACGATCCCACATCTGGTGTCACATCTGTCTCCAGAGACACGGGCGGCCATATGTGGTCCGCTTTGTTGCAGTCTGTCGAGCACAAGTCTGCTCGGTACGCCTGATTAACTGCGTCGATCGGCCCCCAAATCTTTGTTCAGGGCTGCAATCTGTCTGATGTCCAAACATCACACCCCACCCCCTGGGCTCATTACGCCGTTTTCATTGTCCCTGACCACCTGATCCCCAACCCCCTGTGTCTTTCTACTACACATGCTGAGAAGACTCGATGTGATAGGAATATTAAGCAGGAAATTAAATGATGTGTTGAGATGGGTGAAAAAACTTTAATCTGAAAAAAGTTTAATCTTTAAAAAGTGAAGTACAGAACTTTTTGCACTCACTCAGTTAATTGTCTTTGACCCAGAGGTTACGCTTGCTGCATAAGCCTGACAAAAAAACCCAAACAAAAAACAAAAAACTTTCCAACGCATTTGGATTAAAAAACACCCGAGTGCCCCATAGGCAAGGCTGCAGATTATAACCTTCAGTCTGACACATTAATCAAGATTAATTTGAACAATGCCTTTGTTTTCCAGTGGTACTTCAACATTGACAGCGGCAAAGACCTCTGTGTCTTAAGTACAATCAGTATAGAAATTCAGTGGTAGAGAAATGAAGGAAACATTCAGCGCTCAGTCTGGTAATGGTCAAGGCAGCGGGTATAAGTCAGTGTTCGGTCAGATTCATAAAAACCCGTCTCAGCACTGAGAATTGCTGTAACAGCACAAAATGGAATTGACAAGCACAGGAGCTGTGTTTTTTCATAACTAACAGCTGCCCACGATTGCTTCACTGCACAAGGCTGAAATGAGATGTGTCTACTCCGAGGGCTGGGTCAGCTGGAGGACTCGGCAAAAAAAGGACTTCTCGATCAATCAATTAGCAGTAATGAGAGTAATTACGCAGTAATTGCCCAACCAGTGAAGTGCTCGTTTGGTGGCGTGTGCCCTTGCTGCTCTGTCACACCCAGTTGCTGATGTTAAATCTCATGGCCGTCTGTTGGAGGCTCTCGAAGTCAAGTGAAAATACCTCAGAGGTACAGTATGTAGTACGAAGGACTGTGTACGCGAAGGCTTGCCTCGTTGACTGTCTGCGATACGGCCACTGTCCACATGTGAAGTGATTTGCATCGCATGGCGTTTTGCAGCCGTCCTGACAGGCTCACGTTCAGCTGCTTCCTAAAGTGATTGTCTCTAAATCAGCTGGATTAAAAGTGCACTTCTTTTGCCAGGAAGCTGTGCTGCAGATAAAAGACAATCTGACCGCCCTCTCTCTCTCTCTCTCTCTCTCTCTCTCTCTCTCTCTCTCTCTCTGTCTCTCTGTCTCTCTCTCCCTCCCACTCTCTGTCCGTCTGCCTGTATCACACACACTCTCTCCCTCTCTCTCAGCAGGCCTTTTACTCACCCTCCCCATCTGTCTGTCAATAACCTCTGACTCATGCAGCACTGACATGTTGGAGGAACATGCTTACTATTCCGACTCTCAGGGCGACAGTTATTCTAAAAAGAAGGGTTTTTACAGGAAACGTGTTGTGGAAGAAACATCATTTACTGAACTTGTGTAATTGTGTGAGCGGCATCAAAAATATTGTGGCAATTTTTCCAAATTGATGACACATATTGTTCAGTAGTGAGAATACCATTTGTCCTCGTCATACAAGTAAGATATTTGTTCACGTCCCCTGTAATCGAAGTTTCGCGCTGCTCAACAGTCGGTAGTTGCTGTTGTCTGACTCATGTCTTCATTGTGTGTCCGTCACACACAGTAAAAGACACAATGATGCTGTATGACTGCAATGCCACACTTTTCTAATTAGTTCTCAGTGAAGCTTAAGATTGTCTCACTTCTGTTCTTTTCAGGCTTGTTTGAGAGGTGTTGAAGCCATGTTGTTTTTTAATTTACAATAGTAAACATATACATAACTTGGCGTCATTTTAGCTCTACAGTAAAAGACAAAAAACAAAGCAGTGCAGGTTTAACTGGTAGTTTAACATTTTTCAGTACAGCTGGTAAACCTTTGGACTGTTCTAATGAGGCGCTGAGTAACTGGAGCATAAAGAGTGAAGTTTGTGTGTTATTTTATGTTATATACAAGACTTTGGCAAACAGTCTTTAAGTGGCACTCTAAGATGTTTTGTAATGTATTACTTGTTGTGATAGAAAATAAAAAAAAAGTTAATATTGTAAATTTAAAAATAAAACTCTGAGCTGTAAGACTCTTACTGTCATACACCCAAAAGTGAATTATTATTACTATTGTCTCTTGGTGGCGTTCAGAATCTATGTAAATGGCATTTGACCCATAAACCCTCATTGGCTTACCTCAAGTCGGGTTCCACTGAACTCAAGGGATCCCCTAATAAGTGCATTGGGTTTCATCACCTACATCCAGTTCCCATTAAAGGCTGTGGGCGGATGCACTGATGTGCTGTTCTTGAATCACTGAGCTGAAACGACAGGAAGTGTTTCCTGGTGAATCATATCAACTGTTTCCACAAGAAAAAGATCATCTTACAGCATCACTGACTGTATTATAGTTGACGTTCTAGACCAGCGGTTCTTAAACTGTGGTATGTGTACCACTGTTGGTACTTAGGCACCCTCTAGTGGTACATGGGGAGCAGACTTTTTAATGTCTGTATGGTTTCAGAATTGAACTAAGAGAACTACTTTATTGTACACCAAGGGTCTCAAACTCCTGGGGCGGGGGTCACTTATAGCCCAATACAAATTCCAATTTGTCTTTTTTCAATTGTTAAAATGTGTCAGTTTGTCTTATAGGAACATGAAAAGATTTAAACTAGTTGTCTGTGAGGTAGTATTATACATTTTTTTTTATCTTAAATATGTTTTTTGTGCTGTACATCAAACAAACTGACGCTGCCCTCAAATAACATAACAGTGGCAGCTGTTCTTAGCTGAACAGGGTAGTTTGATGCAGTATTTTAATGTTAATCATACTGGTGGTACTTTGAGTGACCCATATTTCAGATGTCGTCAACTGTGCAGGGTTGCGAAACACTGTTCTAGACTATAGTTATTAATAATTGTGTTTTTGTTTATTACATACAATATATATCATACTTTTGTATATAATGATTTATAGTATATGACAGTGTTGTATTTCAAACACTTTCCAGTACTCAAATATCCCACAGATTGTACAGTGACCATTCAATTCAGTTACAAAAAGTATAATGATGATACTGTGCACCCATTCTCACATGCTGGCACGTCACAGTGGACAGACGTGTTTCGGAGTGGTGATGTCACACCTTCCCAAGAAAAGCATGTGAGCTTGAGCCCAGATGAGTAAACCTCCATAAAGTAGAACCATCTGGGGAGGAAGTGGAGTACCAGAAGAGGAAGAAGAATTCAGTCAGGAACTCAGAACATGTGGGAGGTGTGTGTGTGTGTGTTTGGTGATGGTCGTTGCTGCTCTTACTCACACAGCTCTGAGTCAGGGTTTGTCTCAGTTTGCTGAGACACGTGGAATGGATGCAGAGGAGTTTTCTTTCCATGACTCGGTGCATTGACTTTACAGAATCAATTATGAATTTTGGAACCAAATGAAAAACTGTTTGGGTCTTATGCTCTCACTCTAACAAGCTGTAATTTCAAGATTTGGGACCTACAAAGTCTATCCATCCATCTATCCAAATTCAACACTGACTGCTTTCCTAACTTTATTATCCAACTATCAAATGTTGCACGTTCAAATCTCACAAACACAAGGAAATACATTTTTAAACAGTATGTCAGTGGGGTATTCTATGATGATATATTTAATATGGCTTACTAACTCTTAAGACAGGTGATAGAAATAGACTGGCAGGAGCAGCTGAGTTGAACAGCTGCCTTAAAAAACAATCCTAACTGAAACAGTGTTGAAAGAAAGAGTAAAGTGTGTAGATCAATTGATTACATTGCTCAGGCCAAACCAAGATCAACATGTCCGTGTGTGTTCTCTCAAGTGTAGGTGTGTTTGGTCTGCTCAGGCTGCAGTCTGCAAACTAAAGGCTCCTCATTTAGTCCTCACCAAGTGTTCTTCATGGACAATTAGCTACTTGGCAGCGATCTTGTTTACCCATCCGTGCAGCTCTGTGTGAAAGCCCGACTAAGCTCCTTTTTTTAAATAAATGGAGCAAAGGAGAAATCTTTGGCGACAAATGTGCATGATTTTGCAACAACAAATTCTTTTGTAACTCCGTAAGCATTCGCTCTCCAAACCATAACACTTTAACAGATGGAGCCCATGTCCACTGTCACATACTGTACTGTATACTTATCAAAACTGGACTCCAATCTAAGAGCTCATGTCTGAAAATCAACTGCCTCCATCACTACCTACTAACCCAGGTGTGGGCAACTAGGTCCACAAAGGGCTGCTGTGGCTCCAGGTTTTTGTTCCAACCAAGCAGCGGCACACCTGACCTGGCTTAATTAATCAACTGCACTACCCACTAACCCACACTCAGCCCAAGGTTTGGCATCTGTGCAGCATGCCTCCTGAAAATGTAAGCTTTTTTCTCTCTCTATTACTTGTTATAATACAATGTCTTGATTATATTTGAGTAGAATAGAGATAGTGTTTAGTTTTAATGATGATGATGATGATAGTAGTAAAATAAAGTGGTAAATAAAAATATTATTTTTTACTGTAAACAAGACTTGGTGTGAAATGCTGTGTGATACTCATATATCAACACTTTTGGAAGATCTTTGAAAGTGGTTCCTTTATTATTATGTTTTTCTTGTATGTAACATGCTAAATCTAATCTCTCTTAGCACGTAATGACTGCAAACATACATTTTTAATTTTTTTCGTACCTAATCTTTTTCCCTCTGATTGATGCTTATTTGTTTTGGTCTCAATTTTAAATGAATAGCTTTTAGGAGCTGAGCCCCAGTCTCACTCTGTCTTAATGGGCACTGTCGTGTTGCTCTCTAGTAGCAAATGATTCGTCTAAATAATTGATGCTGATAACAGTCTTTTGAAACAATTAAATCAGCGTTGACTGCAGACTGAGGGCCCGTCTTCTCTGTTTCGCTTTTATTTCTCTGCTTCGGCGTACATTTACCACCCAGTCTTACCCCTTATAACCTCTATTACTCATCCTCGTCACAGCTGTTGCCCCACCCCACCCCTTCTTCTCCTCCGCCTTCTCATCCAGCCTCCCTCCGGCCTTTGTCAAATTAAGCAGCAGTAGTGGCAGCAGCAGCAGAAGCAGCAGCATGTGGAGGATCAGATAGACATCTCATCTGTCCGATTGTTCCTTTATAAAGCCATTACAGTCCCTCTTGGCCATTCAACTCATTGTGTGCGCACACATGCACTCACACGTGCATGTGCACACCACATGCCCTTTCCTTCCTGGATCAAACTTTGCAGCTCGTATTTAGATCTGAACCACATACAGCCCNTGCTGCCTAACTGAACTGTTTGCATTATTTTGACCGCTACCTTTGTGGCCCACATATCTAATATAGGATTAGGCAAAAAACTTTGTTCAAACGTCATTTGGACTTCAGTGTCAAATCATTGACCCAAATACTGAAAGCAAAAACACAGTACAACTGTTCAGGTGACAGGAAGCCAGTAGGAATAAAGAGAGTGAGCAGTTGTAGAGCACGAGCACAGGTGTCACCACAACAACCGTGTGACACCATGTGAGCCTGTGTGATTAGGTTTGTGTTGTCGTTTCAAGATGATCACGTGTCTTTACTTGATTTTTAATCAAGGCGAAAATGTAAGTGGTTTTAGTCGGACATTTACTGCCCCCTAAAGATGATCTTTTATGGATGTAGCAGAGCAATCAAAGGATTATCTCTGACAGTTGTGTGTTAGTCAACAGTTCTCTGGCTACTTTGCTTGCTATCTCTCTTTCTCTCTCTCTCTCTCTCTCTCTCCCTCTCCCTCTCTCTCAGCAGGCCTTTTACTCACCCTCCCCATCTGTCTGTCAATACCCTCTGACTCATGCAGCACTGACATGTTGCAGAAACATGCTTACTATATGGACTCTCAGGGCGACAGTCGACGATTATTCTGAACAGAAGGTGTTTTTAAGTATTTATACAGGAACTGTGTTGTTGAGGAAACATCACATACACTCTGCCACTACATTAGTCTACCTATTGAATGGGTTGCCTATCCCCAGGCGCTTGACAAATGAACTGTATTACACAACTTGTCAAGTGGCACGAGGGCATGGCAAGGGCACAGGAGGGAGACCGGCCGACCAAACACGCTGTGAAATGTTACAACGTGGGAGCTAAACGTGCAATATGTTCTGATCAATGTCATTTATCTGTTGTGAGAGAGTGTGAAGATCACAACCCCATGAAGGGAGTTTAAAACTAAGCTGGTGTCGGAACCGTTCTGTGTGGATACCCTGCTGTTCCCTGTGTACGCCTGTTGGTTGGTGAAAGACGTCATAGTAACTGGATGGCCACGTAATCGTACAGACTAATTCATACAGAGTTATAGAGGCTGACTGACAACCAGAAATAGAAGAGTGATTTTCATTTATTCCACTGTAACGTTTTGTTCCTCTCAGCGCTTTATTTCAGTCGACCCACTGGAAACCGTGACTCGTGCAGTGTCTCCAGTGGAGGAATCATTTGGTCTCTGTGCTATTTCTAAAGAGTTTCTTGTAGTCAAATTTACAGAAAAGTTTGTGTCTCCGCCAGCTAGGTTGTGTACCAAACAGGCCAACAGTGCATGTGCGTGCTCCAGGACAGAGTAAACAGCACCGGCTGCATCGTAAATAATTCGACCCAAACAGCTCTGAGATTGATACCAGTTTGTGAGTAGAAGAGCACATTCCAGTGATAAACAAATCATTCCAGTTTCACAGTGTGACTGCCACCGAGATGTATTGAAGCAAGACCTATACAGAACACTGCACTGCACTCAGCTCATTCAGCATGAGTCAGCAGTCCAGTCTAGCCGTAAAACAGCTTATCTGGTGAATAAGTGCACTCCGATTTCCTTGACTGCTGAGAAGATCTTTATTTTGTAGATTATGATTACACTTGTATGGATTGACTACTCTCAGACCACGCTGGAAAAAGCTCATCTTCTTCTTCTAATTGTTTCTTAACGTCACAGTTCCTTAGGAAGATTTGCTTCAAGCTGGAACAAGTCAGCCCAGTCCCTACTTGGACTGGTACATTTTTGCACACCACAAATATGTGTTGAGCTCATGTTTCATGGCCCAAAATTGATTCTTTTCTATTTGTCTACAGTACTGATGTGCATGTCAACTTACAGACTGTAGTTTTGACTTCTGCTGGCAAAAAAACATGTGTGTAAATAGTGTGTATAACTAGATTTTGGCACTGAAGGCAGCGGGTTTTGGTTTTGGTCAGATCCCCTGTGTCAGCACTGTCTCAATAAAAACAACATGTCACCAAATCACTACAGGAGAACACAAAATCAACACACACGTCTCTCATAGCCTCTGATGCAAGACAGAACTGATGTGTGTATGAGTTTGAGGAAGGTCAAAAGGTGAAGATGAGCAAGTAGCTAAGTAAGTTATGCTGGATGAGTTTTAAATTCCCTGGGGGTAATTATCCAAATCAACACAGAATGCAGAAACGTTGTAGTTTTTCGTAGACCAGGGTTAGGTGTAATGTGTGTGTGTGTGTGTGTGTGTATATATATATATGTATGTACAATAACTGCCTTTTTATAATAATTTGTATTTAATACATCAAGTAACATCTTTTTTAAATCATTGGGAGAAATTCTTTATTTGTTTTTATTTTTATAGGATTCACTAAGACCTCACCCATGGACGGCTCTTTCTTTAGTCAGTGGTCTGTGGTTAAATCACACTGGCTGCAGGCTCCCATCCTGAACACTGGCACGCCTTAGTATCTGACTCACAGAGATATGACACACTCAACGTGGCTTCTTTGGTGCAGGTTTGAAGCATAGCGTTAAGTTTATAATTCGCCTGTGTGCTTCCTCTTTCACACACACACACACACACCTTAAACAGTTACCCTGTGGTGTGTGTAATGTTGCTTAGCCTACATGGTCTAATCTAAGAGGCAGCTGGAGACAAATCCTTATCCCAGAGGAGCAAGATGAAAGAATCTCCCCAGCACTTCAAAAACGACCCAATTTAAGTGCTTTCAACCTTTTCCTTCTGGATTGAAAAAAAAAAAAAACAACTTCCAACCGAACCACTGTGTACTTGAACCATTTCAGAAAGTATTTTTATTACAGCCCTCTTCATCATACCTTATATAAGCCTGCCTTCTGTTAAACTGATTTTTCTTTCTCGTTTCATTTTTTCCTCTGCATGACCCTGGAAAATAATTGGAATTTTAAACTTTCTTTGTTTTTAAAAATTGCCTGCGTAGAGAGAATTGGCTGTATTCTCTCAAGTGATTCCACTTAAAAAAAAAAAAAGACAAAACAAAAAACAACAATCACATATTTAAAAAGGCCCAGCTGCCTTTATATAAAATGAAATAAAATCTTCCTGGATGTTATGGCACTTTAAATAATCCAAACGTGCAAATTAGACAGTTATCAAAAATGTATATAAATGTTAGCCAAACTAACCAAAACTGCATGTCGCACTCTTTCTATAAAAAACAGGGAACATGAATCCTTTTGTAGAACGGTGTAAACTGTTTGATTACCGTTTACAGAAAAACAAAATCAGTTGTCTTTGAATACTCAAAGTAAGAGTATAACAACGAAAGATGTGTTTCCTTGTTCTGGTGCCAGTAAATCTGATGTCAACAACATTAGAGGAGAATTGTGCAGGTCCAATGGTTTCCATATGGTATATGTTAAATATTTGTGGCTATAATGGCGCTCCAACTGTTTAACGTCTTTGTTGTCCTCCTCTCTACAGGAGGAACCTGACCAAGCTGTCTCTGATCTTCAGCCACATGCTGGCTGAAATCAAAGCCATCTTCCCTGGAGGACAGTTTCAGGGGGACACCTTCAGAATCACCAAGGCTGATGCTGCCGACTTTTGGAGGAGATTTTTTGGAGAAAAGTAAGCTCCAATTTATCTTGGCTATTATTCTCTGTAGGTCCATGTTGGTCTTTGAATATGGTGTTGGACGCAGTGATTAACTAACTTATAATGGTAAAAAATAAACAAAAGATGACTAACAGAAGATGTGTACCTTTTATAAGACCTCTCCTTGACTTTACACACAGGTTAAGCGGCTGAAAAAGTGATTGACTTTTCTATTACCGATAGAGCTCTTTGTCTCTGTTCTTTGGGTGAGTCATATTTTAAGTCACACGGCAGCAGGGAGGAAAGACGTAAGCACAACTCACAAAGAAAAAAGCACCTTGGAGACCAGAGCCAACGTGAGCAGGGTTCCACCAAGTACCCTCCAATCACTTCAGCCCATCTTTCAAATGAAAAGGAAATGAATGATGTCCTATTGGGTATAAATGTGAGTCTGTGAATGTGGGTACAAATCTGCACTTATTCACATTATTAAAAAAGATAATAATGTACAGTTGAGTTCACACAGAAAATACAGCAAAATATATCTGCACATTTTAAAAGAAAATGTGTTGATATACTTGCCGGCGGGCAGCCAGCATGCAGCAGGTGAGAGAGCTTTGTTGCCAAGAGGAAAGAAAGCACGAGCGCAGAGAGACAGGCTGTGACTTGTCTGAGAGAGAGAGAGAGAGTGAGAATCTTCCTTCAGGCTCCAAAGTACAGATCTGAAATGTGAGTTTTGTTTTGTAAGCAGAAAAAATATGAAAGAAATTTAAAATAATACTCTTTGCTATTGAGGCAAAAGAGCCAATGATATCTGAAATTATGTCTGATGTAGGTTGAAAGAAAGAAACGAATATATGCATTTTTACTTTGGCAGTTGGCACCAAAAGAAGGTGTCCACTCAAGACAATGTGTTGCTTTAGTTCCAGCAGCAGCTTAATGTTTCCCCGTGTCCACGGCAACGCTGACGAACGACCAAATCAATTGGCAATCGATGATTGTTACAAACCCAAGCTTCCTGTGAAAAAAGGATGTGTTCGGGATTATCAGCAGAACAGCATCCTGTGTGAACCTGACGGAGGAGCTCAACACAAACTGCGTCCTTCCTCATAAATTACCCAGCAGCCAAGGTCGTGCTGCATCATTCGGTCCCATTCATCCCAGAATCAGGAGAGACCTGAGCTAATCTGGTTAACGATGTCACAGAGTAGGTTTTTAGTCAATGAAAACTGAGTTTAGGACATGAACTGTATTTAAAACGAGAGGCGGAGGTAACAGTAAAAACAATCAGCCCAATCAGATAAAAGTCCCAAGGTCTGCAATTTATTTCAGCAAATATTTAGGGTTATGCCAATCATTGGCCTCTTATTGTGTAATATGGTAGAAAGCTACCTTTAGTGTCTATTTGTGGGAATTCATTGTACCTTACCATGCTCTGTCCAGAAAGGTTCATTATCAGTGAAAATAATATACAATTTAACTACCGAAACATGTCAAAAAAGTGGTTAAATGTACTTGTTTTACACAACTCATTGACTTAAATTTGTGTAACTACAGTCTGTAACAGAGTCAGAACTCTGTATTCTCTTGTGGAAGAATGCCAGAGGCATCCTGGAGATATGTGGATAAGTTAACTTTTTTCCCCCCTTAATTTTTAAAAGTATCATCAGCAGGAGATGTGATGTAATTTTGAAAAATATTTCCAACGTGATTTCATGCAGGCGTTGTTTTTTTCAAACACTACATTATTAAACACACCAGCTTTATACATTAGGGACATTGTTTTGCACTTTTTTTTTCTTTGCATACAGAAAGAAAATGATTTCACTAAACTATTGAACAAGCGAAGTTCTTGTTATTTGAAAGAACTGACACACTTACTCAAACCAAGGTCTGCTATGGAGACATCATGGCATAAATCAAAAGAGCATTGTTTTACCTATAGAATACAGAAATACACAAGGGAGAAAGGGTAGGAATTTACATTTAGAGTTACCTTTACGGAGGGTATACTCATGGTGTGGCTCCACTGTGATTGATAGTCAAAGCTGCTCGTTGTCAGTGTAGGTGGATGTGTAGCTGCCAAGTTGTCATGCAGGTCCACCCCTGCTATTTCCAGTAGAGTGACTTAAGGTGAAGGAAACAAAGTTAGTCTTCCCTAAAATACAGAAGTCACAGCTTTTGATTGGACGTTCACAGTGCTGTGTCATCAATTATTTCCAGGGCAGTTTTACTTAAGGCAAACATTAGGGCTATATAATAATATGGATACATATAGTTTTTTTTTTTCCAAGTGCCCATTTGTGCCTCCTGCCAATAGGATGTGGTGTGTACCATGGTGATCAGTTGAAGACGTGAGGGATAACCAGCCTTTTCCTGTAGTACAACTTACATATGCTACTTACTAGAGCGGGCTAATGGATGGTTTGATACCTCGCCTGTTTATGTACCAGCGAAGTGCCGTCAGACACGGTAGCAGCTCTGTGAGGCTAATGCATACAGACAAGTGGATATTAAAGTGGTCAGCCATGCGTTGAGCCTGATAACAGTGTTCGCATCAGCTCTGACATGCTTGTTTTTACAACCTCAAATTCTATCATCAAGCGTTCCACTTAATTCTGAGTCCTTGAAGTGTTCAACTGTGCTGCTGTGTTTTTCTCTCTCCGTGTCCTCCCGGTGCCTTCTGTCCCTTTTATTCTCTATTATGTTTGTTCTTAAAACACTGGCTCTGTGCATCATAGAAAATGGGTCTCTGTGTCTTTTTAGGTCATCTTTTTTTCCCCAGTTTTATAGATTCATATAAAGTCTTAAAATCACATTCAGAATTCATTCATTCTTCACATTTATTTGCCTCAATACGGGACACATTGAGTGGGAGTGTAAAAATCCCAGTATTGATGCTTCACAAATCCTACACACTGTTGTGAACATTGTATATTTTAGCTTGAAATTGGACAAACACCATCCACAAACCACCAAACATTTCAGCAGAAAAACAACAACAAACAATTATATTTATATGGTATATCTAGTACTTGGATGGATCTAAGATGTACACAGGGCTGAGTTCAGTTAGCACCTGTTTCCTGCCTGATGACTGGAAATATTAAGTCTTTCCATGGGAACGTTGTGGGGTTAATTCAAGACGTCTCAGTCCACATGTATTCTGTGGAGGCCTAGCCGTCAGTACTGTAGGTTGATGGCTGCACCTCTAATGTGGAGCGCTCTAAATGTCCAACAATACCAGAGAAATGGCTCTGCCAGTGCAGATCAGATCACTTACTATTCAAAAAACCATCCATCTCCTGTGATCACAGTCGAGCCAGTGGTCATATTTCCTGTAAGATCTTCTTTTGTTTCACAGTTACAGCTAACGTGGAAAATGACAAAAACTGAGACGCGGTTCATATCCTGCAGCTGAGGGACATACATTTCTCCTAAGCCCGTTTAAATCAAATTGTTTTTGTTCATTTTGAAACCGGAGCCACCTTTGTCATCCTGACAGTGTGAATACATTAGCTTTGTTGTTCACACACTTTGGCTCACATCTTATACATGGTTCTGTTTATGCATTAATAATGAGAGACAGTATAATTAGTCACTGCTGAGACTCAATTGAATCAATGTGAGAATGTCTTGTGTTGTTTTACTGTGCAGTACTATAGTACTACAGTACTATAGTCTGATGAATATGTCTCTGCCTACAAGCAGTGCAATCAAGCTGTGATAGAGGATTTCTACCACAGTTGGAAGTGAAATGCATTAGCGTGAGATTAACATTGTTAGTTTGGACCACATCAGCAGAGTGTAAAGACCACTGAGGCTGCTGATCTCTGTGGCCACTCAGCTCACTCACAGGCTTGTTTCTTTTCTCCAGTCTGTCGACCTCAGATATTTCCTGTCAGTGGTGGATACTAATCTTAACTCTTGACTCCTCACACTAAACTAAGGATGTGGTGGAGCAGTAGTTCAGTCTCAAGCTCTGGTTACACATGCAGAATTGTGCAATGATTGGGATTGTCACCTGTTGTGTTCTCTTGCAGGACAATAGTGCCATGGAAAGTCTTCCGACAGTGCCTTCACGAACTGCATCCCATCAGCTCTGGCCTGGAGGCCATGGCCCTCAAGTCCACCATCGACCTTACCTGCAACGATTACATCTCTGTGTTTGAGTTCGACATCTTCACACGTCTGTTCCAGGTTGGTTAAAAAACAAAACAGAGGCTTGGTTTCAGTACTTTCCATTCATCACCCATACATTTCCGTTTTGGGTTAGGGCGAAAGTCACTAATGGCAACACACATGTATAAAGTATATATGTATGTTTATATATAAATGTGTGTGTGGAAAACTAATCTGAAAAGTAGCAGCCTTTTTGTGCCTCTGTTGCCTTCTTAAACCCACATTAAAATGTACAGGAACCGAAACATGAAACAGTCACGGAAACAGCTGTACGTCAAAAACTAAATCCTATTTACAGGATTTGTTTCTGTAATTTAACATCACCAGAAAAGAGTTGGATTTTTTTTTTCTAGTTGGCTGTTTTCAGATCTATTTTTGATCTGTTGGTGATTTGTGCGTGTGGCTTTAGCTGCTTTCTGATGACAGATTTCTGGCCCATGTGGCTTCAAGATGATGTGTGGGTGGTGAGGCCTTAAAGTAAGGCTTTACTTTGGCACAACCTTTGTAGTGTGCATGCTTCTTGTGAGCACGAGGAGTACAACTTTGAATGCTGCTAGAATGTTTTATTCCAGTTTAGGCTCACTAAAGTTGATTTTTAAGGTTAAGATTGGGGTGAACCTCCCTTGTACGACTGATTGTATCATCAGAGCGTCACTCTACTTAAGCAAACACAGTAGTGGGTAGGAGTTGGCAGTGAGTGGGTGGGAATCTGCTCGGTGTAACCTGTACTGTACGTAGGTTGATGCAGTCACTGTGGTCACCCTCGTGTTGTGGTCATGTTGATTCATGGTCAGGGAATTCTGGTGGGAGGCAGACAAGGAGCCACTGAGAGAAAGAGAGCAAAAAAGTGTGTCAAGGCTTGAACCTTTATAGGGTGGGTCACTTTTTAAACTGTGTTATGTGAGGTTTACAACCTAACGTGAAAATGTAGAGATTTGTCCAAAGGATGCTGTTCTCTTATTTAAAAAAATGTAATCAGTGATGATAACCCGAGTGACAAAAGCACATTTTGTTGGCTTGGTCCCTGGCTGTGTCCCACTCTAGATTTTTTTTTTTTTTTTTTTCATTTTCATTTGGCTCCATCCTGCATCTTTGGGCTGGGCCACTCTCCAGTATACTGCTCAAATCAACAAACTCACAGAGTGGTTAGGGCCTGCTCCATTGCGTTTCCAGCCCAAAGGCCCATAATTCTTCTGCCAAACCGACTACAGCTAGAGCAGACCATTATCATCCTTGGTGAGCTGCAGCTAACAAGCAGCATGATGGTGAATGATGTGGCACTTGGCACCATGTGGAGCCAACTGGCAAACCTGCTGGTTCTCTCCAACACAGTGGGGCCCAGCTTCGCACATCTAATCCAAGGATGGGATGTGATGAGCTTCTTTGCCAATGTTGTTTTGTTGATTATATTTATCATAATTGAATTTCTTGCCTTCAGCAGATCTTATACAACAACATCTTTAGGCTTTAGACATAATGTTGGAAGTCAGCGTTCTGTCGGTGGCCCAGCTCTGTGCATCAGTAAACTGAAGGATAAAATTAATGCAATTATAATAAAAAGATAAATAAAATAAAATGTTCTTGATAGTTATCAATGAAAGCTGAACAAAATCAGAGTGGTGCATGTTTTATTAATTAAGATAAGCTCTGATTAGATGGAACTTTATTGATCCGGGTAAATGTTGTGTTGCAGCAACACGGGACAGGAGAACACTGTACAATAGAAGGAGTGTACAAAAAATAAAAAACATCTTGTTAATACAAGATGAAAACTACACCCTACATGCACACTCCACTCCACATTTTATTTATTGCCATGTCTTTACTGTCAACTGTCATGAGTATATAAAGGAGAAGTATGGGTTTTTATGAGTCTAAGAACTCTTCCTCTCTTAACCGGTCCGGTCACCTCAGAGCCCAGGCAGAGGATATGTAGTAAAGGGTCTGCTCTTATTCCCAGAGTAGATCTGCTAACAGCCTTTTATTGTCTCCCCCTTCTGTTGATGCTCAGGGCTTTGGCTGCAAAGCATCTTTATCCTGCGCTGGAGCTGTTCTTATCATCCTTTAGACCACTTTTTGTTTGTGTTAATATAATAGTCCATCACTGTCGGCTCTGTGATGGACTAAGGGCATATCCTCTGCCTTTTCTACCACTTCTAGGGTATAAAGCCAATACATTTGGTAAAAGAAAGGCCAAATGGATATCGTAGATGTAATTGTTTGTTGTGGTTGTGACGATGTGGTCGTTTTCAATGGAGCAGCAGCAGCAACAACCGTGACAGCTGAAATAATTGTAGTACAATTTGTGATTCTTCATGTTGTAATGCTTGTTCTGACATGTAAATGTGCAAAATAGTTGTGAGGTGGTATTTTATATACTTTGTGTATTTTAAAAATGCATGCGATAAGTAGGAGGGAGGTTTTTGCTTTGCATTAGTATCCTATCAATCACAACTCCTCCACTGAAACAGAGCTGTTTCATTTGTGAATAAAACACATTTTTAATACATTTCTAACCATGCAAAATGTTACTGACATTTCAACACATACAGTATGACAACAAGTATTTATAATAATAATAAAAACATAACAATAATAATATTAATATTGCAACAGTGAGTAATTATTATTATTATTATTAATTGTCTTTTAATTTAAGTGGTATATTAACAAGACCTCATTTAATAAATCATTTTTGCTGAGCCATCAAGTAAACAACAGCATACCCTCATTGTAAAATAAGCCTGTCCTGTTCCACATCATGTTTTTATGGCATCTGTGTTCCTCTGTTCTTCAGAGAGCCACAAACCAGCTATCAACAAAATCAAACAGCACAAGCTTCAGTTTAGCTTCTTCCACCCATGGCTTGACATCGGGAAACCCTGTCCCTCCATGTCAGCCTGTGTGTCCCCCACTCCCTTAGTCCACCTCAGCTCAGTGACATCACTTTCATGTGGCAGAGGTGTTGACTCAAATTGACTCGACGTGAACCACATGATAATAAACCTACGCTGGGTGGTCTTTTTCAGCCATGGGGATCAATTCTGCGGAACTGGAATTTCCTGGCAGTGACACACCCCGGATACATGGCCTTCCTCACCTACGATGAAGTCAAGGCCCGACTGCACAAGTACATCAACAAGCCCGGAAGGTGGGTTACTGTGTGTTGACAAATACCTAAAGATGTGTGTAATCAACAGATAAATACGGCCTGAAGTGTGTTAGGATAAAAAAGCAGTATTAGGACAGTGTGGGGTTTTTGAAGGTCGCAGAAACTACGTTAAAAAATAGAGAGCCACGCGGAAATCAAGTGACCTGTGGATAAAAAATGGCCTTAGAAAGCCACGCGGAAATCAAGTGACCTGTGGGGACAGTTCATTTACATTGTACTAAAAAACACATTCACTGCAGGGCACCTTGAGAAACAGTCATTACTCTTTTCAGTGCTTACTGAGCAAATTTGGTTGCGTCCCCTGTTCACTTAATCATCCTCTCAAGGGTAAGGGCCAGTGCATCTGGATAGAAGACCGCAAACATGTGTGACCTTCTTGAACTTGGAGTTTGACTAACAAATGGACCCCTTTTTTAATTTTCATTTTTCACATAAATGTTTAATTTGCATTCATTCCTGGGTCAAATAATTGCAGTGCACATGGGTAAAAACCAGCTCTGGCTCAGAAAAGCTTTTTCACTAATTCGTCCTTCATCTTTTTAATTTCTGTCAGACATCAGAAAGCTTTGAAGCGCTTTCAGTTTCTGCCTGTTAATACATAAAAATACAACTCCTAATTCAACTTTTGCTGAATTTAGTGCCGGGCATGTTGAGGCGGAGAGATGTGGGGCCAATTAAGAACCCTCTTTGTGGATTTAGTACATTGTGGTTCCATAATTTCTTTTGTTGTCAGACACGGTTCCTGATCCATCTGAATGAAAGTGCATCCGGACTCGTAGAGCCTGAGTGAAAACAGCATAGAGCAGGGCAAACCACACCGATCATCATGACTACATTTAGTACAAATAAAATCCCTTGGAAAAAGAAAAGTTAGAGAGGCGAGATTCAGATGGTCTGGACATGTGCCACGGACAGATAGTATTGGAGAACTGTCCCCAAGTGTCCCCAAGGAAAACTGTCCCCAATTTACGAATGTATCAGACAAAGGATGTTGAAGATCGAGTTGCCAAGAAAAAGGAGAAATGGTTGAGCTATTAGGTATTTTGCACAAAAATATTTATAAAAAAATAGCAGAAGATTTCATGCTTAAAAATATTATCCTGTTGCATCAAAGTTGCAACAGGATGCATTAAAACGTCCAGATTGTTATCCCATGACTTATCTAGACCCCTCCCACCTACTAGCTGGAACTTTAAGGTGTTGGTACACATTCAGAAATGAAAGCAACCCGCTCCTTTTTCAAATAATTTATTATACAAATCAACTTCTCCCTTTGCGCTCATGCTCATCAATATTTATTTGTTGACGATGGCGGTGAATGACCTTAGGACTTTGGCTCAAAGGCAGCTCAAAGCGTACGAGTCAGAAATGAATAATACGTCTGCATTAACATACAGGAGCGTGGGTGTCATTGACGTGTCTTGATCTTCTGTTATATCTGCTCACCGCAGCCTCAGCCACCTTCTCAAAGTCACACTTTTTACTGTCATATTTATGCATCAGAGCCATGGTAACCTTAAAGAGTTAAAGTTTATGAGGGCAGCGGGGGTGTAAATGTTGCTTACTGCAGTAGTAATTTTCACTCAAGGTAATTCAGATACTTCAGAGCTGGTGCCTTCAATGTTTTTCAAGCCAAGGACCACCAGACTGATAAAAGGATGGAGCAGGAAAGGGAAGGGAAGTGAACGACTTGTCATTGTGACACGGCACACCACTGCACACAACCAAATGTGACTTCTGCTTTTTACCCATCACCCAATGTGTGGGGACGGTGCCATGCTCAGAGCACGTTTCTTTAGTGTAACAGTTGTCACATCTGCCTCACATGCAGAAGGTCCTGGGTTTGAGTCCCAGAGGAACCACATACTGAATGATGCCTTCCCTGTCAGTCTGAATGGGTTTCAAAGACTCACGCTGTGAACTTCCACATTATGTGACAAATAAGGGGCTAATATTTATTTTTTTAAATCAAACCCTCACAGTGGTTAACACATTAAACACAGTTAGAACACAGTCTGTACTTTTTGCCATTATCCTCCAAAATCAGGCCGTGGGGGCTTCAGGTGTCCAGGTGTCCTGCAGGGGTCGAGGTCTGTGTGAATGATAGTCTCTGCCCCTGGGCTTTAATCTGTGCCACATACTTGCTGCTTTAGCATCATTAGTAAGAATGCTAATTTAATACAAGTGTCTCAGGTAGCCTTGAGTCGAGCCTCGCCTCCTCATTCATCAGCACCTCTAGAGTAACGTAACCTTGTAGAGCTGATACTGAAAGAACAGAAATGTGTGTGTTGGACTGTGTGTGTGTGTGAGTGAGAGAGAGAGTGGCATTAATGAGTGTCTGAGTGTAATGCATATGAATGATTTTCTGATTCCCCGACTGAATCATGTAGATTCCATTGTTATGAACAGAGACTGGAACAAACGCTCACTGCTGTGTGGGTGGATGAAGTCTAAACAGATGAGCCGTGACGTGGTCATAAACACACACACAGAAAGATAGAGGCTTTTATCAAAAAAAAAAAATCTAGGTTGAGGCAGATTTCACAGATGTGATGTTGAAATGCACTACTCATATCTTATTTAAACACATCAGTCAGTGGGAACGGCAGTGAGTTTGGCCTCAGCTTTTGTTTTTCTGTGCTCTGACAAAAACTCTGCAGGACTGCGGTGATACCACCTTTGTCTGCCTCTGCTCTTCTCGCACGTTTAGAATCAGCTTGTGCTGAGCTGTTTCTTCTTTGTTATTCAGTCCTGACTTGTAGCAGGAAATGTCACCGTGATAAATCTTGAATGGAAGACACTTTTATTGCCCTACTTTATGTTTATTAAAAATGGCAGGAGCCAAAAGTTCACAGTCCACAACAGGTAAAATACTGTCACTGGTACCACCAGGTCTGTGTAAATAAATTATGAGGCCGTTTGAGGTTTTCTGTTTTTTACTAATAATTATACAAAGCAGCTATGGCTACTGTTAAAAGATAAAAACAAACAAACAAAAAAAACCAGACAGACTGGGACAGATGGCAATGAACATCCTTTGTTCACTGAAGCAAAACTGAATCTGTATTTTCCAAAGACCCTGTCTGACCCTGTTTCTTTTATTATTATTATTTAGTGTGCCCAATCAATATGTTCTCCATGTTGGTGATTTGTCATCTGTGGTGAAAAGTGTTTTCTGTCAGACAGAAGACGATTCCCAATCACGTCACTCCTGCTTTGTTTGCTTTGACCCTAGAGGCAATTGTGCAGTCAACCAGTCTGTTTTATAGTCGGTGTGAGAAATGATAATAATTATAAAGAAACTCACTGAACTTAACAATATTTTCTTTCTGCATCTGTAAGATGATCACTCACAGACTGGAGGTTTATCGAACGATTAATAACATTTGTGTACACTTTTCGTAGAATCTACTCAAAGTACATGCACAGGGGTTTAGAACTACACAATTATACAGTCTATTGTCACTAAAATATTATTAATAATAATACTGCTTCATATTGTTCTAATTGAAACATAAAAAAATTATAAATGATTTATTAAACAAGGGATACTGCAATACCAAAGTCATTTTCTATAATTGTCATTTTTGTTTAGGTTATTTTATGTGTTATTAAATGATTTCAAAGTGCATTTCAAAATTTACACACTTTTCAAAGTAATAATAATTTACTTGTTCATATTCTATTTTAAAATCCTAAATCTAAATTTTGAATATTCCAGGCACTCGTGTTGTCTTTAAGTATTTCAAAGTTGAAATGAACTGTGTTTCCTTTGTGTGTGTGTGTGTGTGTCAAACAGCTACATCTTCAGACTGAGCTGTACACGTCTGGGCCAGTGGGCCATAGGTTATGTGACCAATGACGGAAACATACTGCAGACCATCCCCCACAACAAACCCCTGTTCCAGGCGCTCATCGACGGCTACAGGGAGGGCTTGTACGTAACGCACCGCACACACACTAAAACACACACTCACTCACCGTTGTTGTGAGTTGATAAATTGTGTAAAAGTCTCATTTACATACAGTTTAAAGAACTGTATGTAAATGAGTCAGGGCATGTGGATCAGCGGACGTCAGCTCAGTTTTTCTGAAAACTTAATTTCCTAGACAAATCCAAACGTCTCTTTCAGGGTTTTTTCCCCCCTTGTCTTTCTGATCTCACTCAGAGACGAGCATGTCCTTGAGCTCCGACTCCTGCGAGGCCGTCTGTTTCTATCATAACTGATAATCTGACAGGCCCCCAGACAAATCAAACATGCTTCCTTCCATTTAGTGCGTGGCAGATCTTTACCCTCACAGCAGCCGGTCTGGCAGGACTGAGGCTCATCAAGGACGAGCTGTGGGGAGGAGAGGGGTGTGTCCTTGAAGGGTCTAAAAGGACATCATTTCGGTTTAACTTTTCAAAGTGATGAAAAATTGAAGTCCATACAGATGTCAAAAAAAAAAAGTTGGCAGAAAAAGTCAGTGTTATATGAATGTGATTCATATTGACAGCTTCAAAAGATCACATAAATTACCTTTTTTTTTTTCAGAAATACATTCTTTGTGAAATACTGAAGAGAGTTATATTTTAGTGAATGTGATTTTTGTTTATTTCTTTTTCTCACTCTCTTGATTGCAGCTACTTGTTTCCCGATGGTCGCAGTTACAACCCTGACCTCACTGGTCTGTGTGAGCCGACGCCTCACGATCACATCAAAGTGACACAAGTGGGTGTGTGTGCGTGCGCGTCTGTGTGTGTGGTCATGGAATTTTAGCCTCTCACAGCCAGTCAGTTTTCCCTTGTGACATTTAAATTTGGAAAATTCTCATATGAATCACTACCTTTCAACACTCTGACACCTTAGCAACAATTTTATATATATATATATATATATATATATATATATATTTATTTAAAAAAATCACAGCTGATGAGGCACGACTAACTTACTGGAGGAAGTTCTGCATGTCTGATGTTTGTGATCTTTTTCCCCTGATGTAGCATCGACTTAGAGCTGATAGAAAGCAGAGAGTAAAACACTGGTGGGTTCTGTTATATTTGTTACTTTTAATAAAGTCTTTCTAAAGTTCAGCAGACCACCACAGGAAGGTCTGGCCGTATGTGACTGTGAGGGGATCTGAATATGGAAAGTCATAGAAAAACAGCAGATACATTATAAATTGTGCTGTTGAAAAATTTAGATCAAATAATTCTCAGTGTTTAATTGTAATTGTGCTAAAGGTAATGTGTGAAAGTAAAATAAATGAATAAAAAATAGTTTGAACAGTTTTTTTAGCAGTTCAGATAAGACCTGCAGTACTCTGTGAAAGGGAAAATTCAACCTTGTAGTGTTTTTACCACTGCAGTATGAGTCACTGAGTGACGACCAACGAAGCCTAGTGGTAACTGACGGATTAGCAGCCCAGCCACCCTGTGTCAGTACGTGTATTTAGACCCAGTGACCAATGGGTTTTCAAATTATTATTAATAATGTGTGATTAAAATACACATTCTCAATAACATAATTATTAAACCACGCTAGAAATGTAGCTTAAACTGAAATGCAATCCATTTGTTTTTAATGTTTTTTCTCGGTCTGTGCTGAGAGTTGTTTGTTTGCTGTGTTTTTGCAGGAGCAGTACGAACTCTACTGTGAAATGGGCTCCACCTTCCAGCTTTGTAAGATCTGTGCTGAAAACGACAAAGATGTCAAGATTGAACCGTGTGGACATCTCATGTGTACATCCTGCCTGACAGCCTGGCAGGTAAAACCCGTGCGAATGAGCTTTTACTATCACAAGCACCAGCTTGGATCTGCATCATTAACATAACTCTGGAAAACAGAATGCATTACAGAGACAATACTTGGTCTATGTGACGTTCAAGGCTCAAGATTCCAGACGTTAATCTCACGCAGCAACACAAAATGCATACACGAAACAAAATGCACACAACAACAACAACTGCTATGTAAGACAATAATGACATGGACCGGATTTTAACCAGGTCCATTCAGTTTGCTCCATCTTCCTATTAGCCTGTCTGTAACACTTCTTTTTTTTTTTTTACAGCCAACACATTGTAACACATCTGTAACCTTAATGCTTTCCCTTGGCAGAGAGCACGCACAAGCCTTCATTTACGATCATTTATTTTGTAATGTTCAAGTACACACAGTTCCTGGTTGACTCATCTGGTGAACAGCTCTCCATAAACACACTGCAACAACACGAAAACCTCAAAAAAATTTTTTTTGTTGTCCAGCCTGTCAGAGATTATCAACAGGTCTTAACAGTCCCCTGCCGTCTTACCTGCCAGTCATAAACTATATAACCATAGAAAAGAAATGGACGTAGCTGTGACCGGCAGACTATGGTTGCAAAGTGAAGCAGAAGAAAAACACAGGAAGTGCCCCAATGGTTTCTAGCATAACTCGCACTATAAGGTTACTAAATTTCTTTTGACTTACTTTTTACCAAGTCTTTGGAAACATATTGTTTCAGTTTGGCTTAACACTGTCTCGAACAGTGTGGGTTTTTTAGGTTTATAACACTTTACTTTCTTTCTCCCTCGGGTCTTTTTTTTCCCTGTAACCTTCAACCCTTTCCTTTTTCCACCCACTCTGATTAGGATCATGTTTCAAACATGCCTTTGGTGGGTCCCCTCACCAAGTCCCCAAACATATGGCTGCCACAAATGCAGCTTTGTTCTCCGTAAACATTGTCTGCCTTTGATTGTAGCCACGGATTCAGGAGAGCGAGATGCTCTGGAAACCAAAACCAAAAGCCTTTATGATCTTATTTATGACCTCTGTCTGACGCGGGCTGCCATGTGGAATAACTACATGTGGCCTGTGATTATGGTTAAGTCGTGGAACACATTTCCACAGAGTGGCTCCACGCGAGCATCCACCAGTGTCCAGTCTAACAAGTAGAATTAAATTGCAGGAAGTTAAAAGCTGCATTTTAGATTTTAAGTTGTTGGGTTTTTTTTTTCCTTTTGTAGAACAAGTGGCCTGGACCAGGATCAGTGCCTGAAACTGGTCACATAATATAGTACTTTAATCATTAATAAGTGTGATCATATACCTGCAAGTAATAATCAACAAATTACATGAAAGGAGAGTCAAAACATTTAACTTTTTAAGCTACAAGATTCAGTTCATTTATCATTCATTTTTAGGTTATCATGAATGCAGACTTACAAATTACTTGTATAATTACTTGCTAAATACAACACAAAGACAATTAATAACTGGGAAGAAACGAAGAAAAGTCCCTTTTGAGAAATGAAGCAAAGTTTTACAAAGAAACATCACACAGTAGGAGGAGGAGCACAATTAAATTAACTGCATTTCCACATTTCATCTTCAGCTGTGTAAAAATGCACAACTCCAACTGCCAAACTTAGGCTCTGATTTTGATCTGGATTAAATAAAAAATGTTTGAGACTTTCTGGTCTGAAAAAGGTTGAAGCTACATTACTTTACCTTACAAAAATAAAAAAATAACTATTGTATTTCTTGCTACAAACCGTGGAGTCATTCCCTCCAAAAGAGAACAGAACTTTTTTTTTTTAAATCCCACTCTTTAGATCTAAACCAGGAGCCAGTGCCCATTTATATTCAGTCTATGATTTCTGTGAACATATTTTATCTGTAAAGTTGCAGTGAAAGGCTGTCCTGCTCATTACAGCTCACATGATGATGATCAGCCTTGATCAGGTACAGGCCTGTTTCCTATTCAGACAAGTGTTGTCTCTAAGGTCCTGTCACATCTTGAATTCTACACATCAGTCATGGCACGACTGTGCATCTGGCTTCTTCTCGGAATAGGAACCCTTTTATGTCTACATTGTTATCATGACTCTGATATGAGCAGGTCCCAACGGAGCCCACAAATCAGAGGATTAGATGTCATTATAAAGGGGCCGTAGATGACACACGTCTCTACCACACCTTCACCCACATGTGGGTCTCATATATCCAGTTTCACGCACCTTACTCTCGCTCGTCTCTTCCAGGAATCCGACGGTCAGGGTTGTCCATTCTGCCGCTGTGAGATCAAAGGCACAGAGCCCATCATCGTGGATCCCTTTGACCCACGGAACGAGGGGACCAAATGCTTCTTCCTGGACCGGCACAGCTGCCACATGCTGGACCTGGATGATGATGAAGACAGAGAGGACTGTTTAGTCATGAACGGACTGGCCAATATCAGAAAGGTAGAGAGCTGATCTTTGACATGTGGTTTGCATTAACCTTTATTTACAGAGAAAAGCTAAATAGTTTAGTAAGATAATGATGTTTTACTCTGTTAGCTGTTAAATCTGTTAAATCTTTCTTGGACCAGAAGTCCATGATTCCAATTAGAAGTAGAGCCAAGTCTGGAAAATAATGAACTTTCACTTTTCTACCTTTCCTAGCATTGTGCTGAACGCCAGAACTCTCCCATGGTGTCCCCCAGCTCGTCACCTGTCAGCCAGCACAGGAAAACCCACAGTGGAGACGCCGGTCACTGTGTTCAGCACCTCAGCCTTCCTCCCGTCCCACCCCGACTTGACCTTATCCAGAAAGGTGCCATCCGCTCCCCATCTGCCAGTCCCACCGGCTCCCCCAGGGTTAGTCACAGTATTTCCCACAAGTGGAGGAAACGAAAATGGTTCAGTAGATTTTTTTTTTTTTTTTGTACTGGTTGTCACATCTTGTCACAACATGAAATGTGTGTTTCTTGTTGAGCAGCTTAACAGGTTGTGGGTAAAACTACCACTCGCTGATCCTGCTACCTCTGGTTTCAGATCCATTCTGACTTGTGCCCTTATGACCTGAAAAGTAGCCTGTTTTTTTTTTTTTTTATCAGAATATGATGTTGAAATTTTGCTGTAATACTGGAAATCAATTTTATATTTAAATTTTTCTAACTTTAAAATTCTTCTTGAAAATCTTAAATCTCAAATTTAACATGTTGGATCACGTGGTCCATTGGAGTATTAATGAAGACTATCAAATTCTCTGCTGACAGTGTAGTAACCGTGATTCCAACATGTCATCACATACATAGAAATTATGAATTTACTGTGTTCCTGACCTTTTCCAAATCCCGAACCATTTGAATGTTTTTCTTTCTTCTTCCCTCTAGTCTTCACCAAGCATGTCCAGGAAACAGGACAAGCCTCTCCCAGCTCCACCTCCTCCCCAGAGAGATCCACCTCCACCACCTCCCCCGGAGCGCCCTCCTCCCATCCCGCCAGAGTCGCGCCACTCTTGGCTTGTCACTTCTTCCTCTAGTTCTTCTTCTACTGCTGCTACTTCGTGTGACTCCCTGGTGCCCCCTGAGACGTGGTGCAGCAAAGACAACCACCTGTCAGACGCCTCCCACAGGACAGGAGTGGACTACCAATCCCTACAGCTGGGATTAACTGGCTCCTCCCTTCTTAACGGGAGACCGCTGAGCTGTCCCTCCGCAGGATTTGGGAGGCTGCATCTCAGAATGGATGGAGCGGTAGCTGCAGAGAGCTCTAAGGTAGGGAAGATGTGAGGCCCAGCACAGGATCACAGCAGAGGCTTCCTACTTTTACATGATAAACACATAATCCAGAGACTTGTGTTTCTATTGTAATACACACCACATATCAGGGACGTCTCGGTCCAATTTGATCTTACAATTAATTAAAAAAACGTAGATGTTGAGAAAAGGTGAAACTGGAGCCTGAAAAATCCTTGTTTATGTTTATGAACCTTTAAGGCCTTGATAATAAAATCTTCAGTTTGAGGAGTGAGTCGTGAGTTTCAGCTCACTATAAAAAACACTGCGTGAGGCAGGAATATCCAGATTGTAGGACATTTTCAGGTCTGTCTGTTTCCTGCTGTGTGGGGTAATCTGTGGGCTCACACTCACCTGTGTGTCTGCAGTTAGCCTCGCTTGTGTCACCTGGTGCTCCCTGCATGTATACCTCTCTCCCTCACTCTGGCCTTGTGGGATCATTGTGTATGTGTGTGCGCTGTATCGTCTGTTCCTGTTCTCAGCTCTGCTGGAATTTTTAATTTTAAAATAAACTACCTGCACCAGTCCTGCCTGGTTCCTGCCATGTCGATGGCTCATCGTGACAGAAATACCCTTTCATCCCTGGGACAGCAAATCCCAGCATTCTCTAGCAAGGACAGGAGCCGACAGTTTGTCCACAGTGATGGACACGAATACTTTCTGCGTCATTTCCTCGGCCTTGTCACTCTCTCAAGGACATGATTCCTTCCTTTTTACAGTTTCGTCCCTGGTCTGTTGCTTTGGCACAGCAGGCTTTTCCTGTTGCTCCTGCTTCCAGTGAAGACGGCCTATTCCTTTTTTATCAGTGTTTAATTTTAGACGCTGTATCAAATTTTTTAGCATTAGACACAGTTCTGTTGCAACTGCTTTGTAAGGCGGTCCCATTGCAGTAATTGTGAGTATCCATTTTGCTGTCAAAGTCAGTAGAACTAGTCATGTTCATGTCTGCTTCAAACTCCTCATAAATATGATTTTCTGTTTTGTGGATAAAATGACTTTTATGGGGGGAAACTACCCGTAAGTTTGCAACCGCTAAATCATGTCTAAGAAAAAAATCCGCAGACTCGGCCTCAGCAGTCAGTGGTGTGGAAGAGAGGATGTTACTGAGGGTGTGCATAATTTCTTCTCTCTCAACACTTTATCATTTAAAGTGCTGTGCCGTTCACGCACCCGTGCACATGCTGGCGTTTTCTTTTTTTTTTTCTTTTTCTTTTTTTTTTGCACTTACTTCAGGCACAGCAATTATTTCATCATAATGAACTCTGCATTCCACGACAAACAGCATCATCAAATTTGGTCACTTTCTGGCTGTAAATGTTTGCATCTTACTGTACTGTCTTTTAAAGATGAGCTCTGGTGCTTGGACTGTGGAAGGTCTTTGTTGAACTAAATTGTAAATTTGCCACTGAAGGATGAGATTGTTAACACTTTTCGCCTGATTAGTGTCATCGTTCTTATTTCATTCTATTCTCTCCTTTTTATGTCGGACTGTTTAGGGTTTTTCTAATGGTGTTCAAGTCAGCGATGACTACGACGTCCTCCCCTCACGGGTTTCCCCAACTCAGTCCTCACTCTCCAGTAACCACAAGTGAGTAACGTTGTACTTGGATTTGTGTAGCTAAAATATTCCTCCACTGGGACATGGACTGACACTGCCAACCAAACCATTAACCAGAGCCTGACAAATAAATTGTAATCTGTTATTTACACTGCCAAATCAGATTGTTAAAATTCAGTCTTTGTTGCCAAGTCAATTAAAGTGTTTTAGTTTTGGTTAAGTTTTACCCACCAAAATATCACATTCTACTTAATTAAATTGAATTATTTATCAACCTTATTAGATTAATGTTAATATCTATGAATAAATTAGAAAATATGATTTGATTTGATTTCACTGTGAATCACAGGTTGACTATGATTGGATCCCCATTTACCTGTCACAGCTTTGAACCGATAATTACGGTTGTGTTTTGATTGGCAGCTAATCCAGCTAATTACCCATTAAGTGCAGGTTTTAGAAAAGATCTGTAATTAACACCAGTCAGACTTGAGCTTAACTCTTAAGTCGTATTTCTAAATGTGTAAAAAGTCAAAAAAGTCTTCTACTTTGAAGTTTTATGTCCGTGCTTCTGTCTTCTGGTTCTGACCTTATGTGAGTGAGGTCAATCGGCCTGAGGGAAAGTCCTGGTAAGAAACAGCTCTGAAAAATGACTGTCAAACATCTAATAGCTTTTAGCTTCATCCAGAATTGAATTAGTTTCTTCAGTACATCAGGCTGTAGTGGAAACAGGGAATGGAGCTGCCACTTCTCATGAAGCCTGAGCTGTAAGAGGAAGTTCTGCTGCCGGAGAATAAAATCTGCTGTTTTTATAAAAAAAAAATGTGGACGTTGACAAGAAACACACCCAGTAATGTCCCACTATACAACGTTAGCTCACCAGTATATAATGGTCACTCTCCAGAAGAGGTAAAAAAAATGTCTTTAAAAAATGCAAAGATCAAAAACAATTTAACCTGGAGTTTGCCAGGCAGAATGACAATTTTAAATTACTGAAGCAGCTGCAGCAAATGTGTTTCTCAAACAACAAATCACTGGAAACAAATCTATCTGTTGGAGTGGTCAAAAGCAATTAAGTCTGTCAGCATTTCTAATTCAATTATTTCTGAAAAGATAAATTAAATGGGGAAAATGAGCACATAGACAGATTAGTGCCTGTTCTTGGCTGGGCAGCCGTACTGGAAATAAATGTGGTATCTGTAAAAGTGACATATTCAGTTTAATTTGGCTTTTTTAACTGAATTAACAGATTGCAGGCAGATTTAAACAAGACACAGTTACATTTGAACAGACAGTCACCATTTAGGCCAATACTCGCAGGTTCTTCTGCCATATTATATCAAATCAAAATAATTTATTGGTGCCGAGCTAGATTTATCTAGACCCAAGATTCATCTCGTACTGTAGCATATGTCAGGCTGACAAAGCAACTGTGCAAAGACTGATATAATTGAGCGACAGAGATAAATCTGCTAATAGATTAAAATGTCACCCTGCTGAATTTATTGTTGGAAGCATTTTTTTAAATGTGAATCAAAAACATCCCGGTTCCAACGGCCACCTATTGTTACATCATCCATCACAGCCATCCTTCTCCCAACAGCTGTGAAAAACGTATTACTGTGTGACTGACACTAATGGATATCGTTGGTTGACGTATCGTTGGTTGACGTCATTACAGGGCCTCCAACCCTTTTAACAGCCCTTTGGTGGAGCGACCTCACAGGCTGACGGAGCGGGTGGAGGACGACTATCAAATCCCTTTATCCAACCTCTGCCTGAGCCAGGCCCCAATCTGCATCTCTGTGCCCAGCAGGTATTGATACTTCTCATTCTATATGTGGGTCACAGCAACGATGGCTTAGAATTTGATTTAAATCCTGCTGACA